TCTCTTTACTTCTAATAACTCTCTCTCTCTCTCTCTCTCTCTCTCTCTCTCTTCTGCAACCCTTTAACCAGACAGAGAACATGCAGCATAATCGTTATTCTTTCCCCCCATAACCTCTCGGCCATGGCTTGGTGCCGCTCCCTCTACTCCTCCTCTATGCTCAACCTCTCCTTTGAGAACCCCTCTCTCTGTTTGAATCCTAAAACCCAAACTCCGAAGTTCAAGCTTCTCGCCATGAAAGAACAGAGACTGTTTTCTTCTCTCAAGGGCTCAAGATTTCGATTGAGGTGTTGGGTTTCAGATTATGATATGGATTTAGAGAGAGAAATTTTTTATTTTATGGAGAATTCGAAGAAACCCAACCTTTTTCCGACGAAAGAAGAGTTAATTGAAGCAGGCCGCATGGATTTGGTGGACAGGATTGTTTCTTGTGGTGGTTGGCTCGCGTCTGGTTGGAATTTGGAAGAAGAAGAGGAAGTCAGAGAAGAAAAAGAAGAAGAGAATGAAGGGGATAGCGGTGATTTGATTACTGGTGGTGACGATGAACTAGGGTTTCGGGATATAAATGAAGAATTTGAAGAAGGATATGGTTCAAATGTTAGTGTTCCTTCCTCTTCTGGACGGTCCATGTAAGGCCCAATTCGCTATTTTAAAGGGTCTGAGAGAGAGTGTGTGTTTCTATATAAAGCCATGCGAGAGAAATATGGTACTTAGGGATCTTCTTGTTCTACTGTTTTATGGTGAATTTGAAATTGGATGGTTTGTTTCTTGTTCTTTTTTGCAGAGAGATGGAGTCTAGTGATTCTGGGGTTGAAGGGATTTTGAGCCGGCTGGAGAGAGAAAGGAGTTTTTCATACAGGGAAGACTCAAGAGAGAAGAGGAGGGAAAGTAAGGATGACAATTCTTGGGGAAGATTAACTGAGCTTTTTGGTGGTAAATCCATGGTACTGTACTATTATCATTCTCATTTGTTCTATGTTTCTATTTTTATTCTTGGAAATCCTCTTTACTATCATGGATTTGCTTGGTAGTTATGAACTTCTGTTGTGTTAATTCTTGGCATTTTAGTCAGTGTTGTTTAGTTTTCTTTTTGTTAGGCAAGTAGATTTTCACAAAATAATTGGTTTTCAAATTTTTCTGGTGAAGATTTGCTCAGTACAGCTCAGATTTGGATTCTTTTTTTTTTCTCGCTTTTTAATTTCGGTGGCCTTGCACCACGGTTCCATAATCTTGTATAATTTGAATTCAGTTTTGCATTCAGTAGATGTAACTTTGTGCACTATTTAGATTCCTGAAATCTTGCTATTAAGAGGAGTATGCAGTTTCTTAATTCTTATTAGATGTTCCCGTGAATAAATTGTGGCTATCATATTGCAAATTACTGGATATATACACGTCAAAAGGAGAGAAAAAAAACGGCTGGATACGCATTTCAGTCACAGTGAATGAAATTGTGTTACCCATAAGAATAAACACGCTAGTTTAGAAAATCTCGTCCCCACTAAACTAGTTTTTATCTTTTTCATTCCTCATTGCTTGAATGGGAATATCTACATTGAATGCACTTTTTGAAACTGAATATATAATTTCGTTACTTGTAAAAAGGAAGTTGCTGGCCCCAAAAAAATCAATGGGTTCAGATCACTGAACCTAAAAGAAGACATGTTTGCCGATTCCGAGGTCTTGTATTCACCCCTTGAGGCTCACTCTGGTCCTAATACCATTACTGCTACAACATGTACCGTGCAAACACCATGGATCATAGAGAACTTCTCAGAAGGTAGTTTTTATATACTGGATAACTTAGTTTTTAGAAGTTCTCAGAGGAAAAAGATAAAAAAGAAAACTTAGTTTTGGAGGTGTGGCTTAGCAGTAATCTCTTTATCACAATTAGTGTAATTTACAGATGATCAAATCAGTATGAGTGCAAGGAAGGAGAGCAATGAGGGCCAAAATGATGGGATGAGTCACATTGGGGAGAAAATAAATGGTTTTAATGGAATTGTCAAAGGATCGACCATTGATGATCAAGATAGTTACCAAAAGAGAATACGGTCCCGCATACAGAGCTTAGAGTCAGAGCTTAATTCTATGCTCAACTCACTCAGATCACAAACCAATACTGTTGATTCAAGAAAGGTACGTGCTTCTAATCCTTTGATTTTGTCACCATTTCATCAGATCAACTCATTCATTATTCGATATTGTCCTATTGAACTTATTGATCTATTATCTATGAAACCATATCTTTATTTAATTCTTTTTGGGCCAAATGCAACTTACCTTCTTTTTTATTCTCTTTCATGAAAATAGATTGGACAACTCGATTCTTAGGAAGTGAGTTGTTTTTGGAAGAGAAACTGTTCTCTTCCATTTGGTGAAGTTTTTGCCTTTTATGTTCCAATTTGAGTTTGGTGGCTTGGAAAGTGAGCCCTGAGGATTGGGGATATTGTCGCATCAAAGACCTAAAATGAGAGCTTTTGGGGTAGAGGAGCAAAACATCATTGTAGCATGCTATTTCACTTTCATGGAACTGCTAAGGGTAATCCGTGGGGGTATGCTCTTGTTGTATGGATTTTGACTGCAAATAGTCTGGGCCTGGAAATAATGATGGTTCCCTAAAATGTCCCCTGTTGGCTAAGTGGGGAGTTCTCAATGCGGAAGAGATTGGGAGGGATTTTTGTTACTGGCCTCTTATGTGTTGTATGTCCTTGTTTTTTCTCTTTCATTTATAAATCAGGTATTTTATCTTCTCAAATTTAATACTTTTGGGATCCATTCATATATTGTACTGCTCTTCTACTTAATACAAAGTTAACAGATTAAAAAAAAAAGACTTTTGGGATCCATTCCCAGTAGGTACTCTTCAACGATACCAAATTGAAAGTTGTGGTTTTTATGGAACTTCATGAAATTAGGTACGAGATAGAAGACGAAAACAAGGTAGAAGCAGCCCAAGGGGTTTCATTCATGATTAAAGTATAAAACCCATTACTATATTCTCAGCCATCATATATTATATTAACACTAAATCTCAATTTAGATTCATGTAAAGACTCCCAACCAAGCCCCCATATGTTGGAAAAACCAAAAATCACCTAGAAACCAATCCAATCATTAACTGAATATAGAATTTTTATCTAAAACACGTTGTAGCTAAGCAACAGCTGTTAATAAAATTCTCAAAAAAAAAAAAAAAAAACAGCTGTTAGTAAAAGTACTACAACCCAATATACTCTTAACTTTTCTATTGTCTACTTTACCCTCAATTTTCAAGATGCAAGAGGATCTTTTCGTGCCATTCCTTTAGAGAAGCAAATTCTGATGCTGATAGATTGGCAAAAGAAGGGGCCTACCCCCCGGCCTCCACGCTGTTGTGATGCCTTCTATTTCCATTCTTAATACCCCCCCTCCCCCCCTTCCCCCCCCAACGGGCCTCTGCACTGTTGTGATGCCTTCTATTCCCATTCTGCTTTCTATTCCCATTCTTGCAGCAGGTTTTGTCTTTTTGGACCCTTTTGGGCTTGTATTGCGTGACCATTTTGGTCACCCCTTTTGTAGTTTCTACTATTATCTAATGCAATTATAGTGAATTTTTCTCTCGAAAAAAAAAAAAGAAGAAAAATTCCAAGATGCAAGAGGCAAGATTCCTATTCATATATTCTCATATCCATCAGAATTGATATGCTTTGATACATTAGAAGTCATGTCAGTTTTACTTGATCTTCTCAGAAAAGATAAAGTGTATTCATATTACCTTCTCTACCTCCTTGTAGTTGGCCCTGTACTTGTGCATCCTGTGACAAGATCGTGATATTTCCATGGGCAAACATCTACAGTTTTGCAGATGTCTAGTTTCTGTCATTTAGTTATATTTCAGTCTCTGAAATGATTTAGTTTAATAATGTCTTTGTTGCATGTGATGGTACGAGCTGGCATATTATCACAAGTTCTCTATAAAGGTGGTGCTATAAATTAGTTCATGTTAGTTTGAAGGCTTACAAATTTACCAAAATAAAGAAGCTATCCCATAGGCTCACTGGTAATGCAACTACTATTGTTAATGTTGTTTTGGCAAGTATGCTATAAAGTATAAACAATGTTTTAAAACAGACTTAGGTTGGGACTTGCTTGGGTCCTGAGCCTGAGTTACTCTCCGCCAAACCTATTGAAAGAGACATTCAAAGGCCTTGTCGGAGTGAGGCAAGTCTTGAGATATTGCCAGGGACTCGTGAGGATTCAGGGGCAAGTTGGCTTGGACAAGTCCTAGTCAACTCACCAGGTATTCAAACACCAGTCATAAAAGTGCACTGAAGTATGTACATATTTAATATTTTATCAGTCATGATATAGGAAACTGAGTTACCTTGATATGTTCTGCTGAATCTTGTTCTTAGGTAAAGTTCTAGGCATCTTATAATGATGAAAATTGTTTGAATCAGAGTCCAGGAGGCTCCCTCGACGAACTACATAAGCTCTCTGATGCTTGGGAGTTTCAGGAGAATGAAATTATGAATACCCGATCCAAGTTACGTTCAACTCATGCCAAGTTAACAGTACTAGAAGGAAAAATGGCACTTGAAATTGTGTATGCATCTTCTCTTCCTGAAGTGACACTTGTTTTTCTTGGACATATGAATGGTTTGATTGAGTACCTCTACTAACTTTTCTACGTACGACCCTTAGGGAAGCTCAGAAGTTAATTGAAAAGAAACAGAGAAGGATTGAAGAGGTTCAAAAGGTGTTGAGGCTTCTACATGATGCTTGCATTGTCTGGCCTAATCCAGGCTCTGAAGTTCTGCTGGCCGGATCATTTGATGGCTGGACGAGTCAGGTTGTTTTCCTAGGGTCTATCAATGAAAAAGAAGTCCAATAATCTTTTTCTGTTTTTGAGGAATGGTCCAATAATCTTTTTCGCCATTTGAATTTTTGAGTTCTTTACCATTATCTTTCATTACACACCCCTGCATTGTTGTTAGGTGCTTGCAAGAAGGTATTTTGTATGGTTAGAAAAGTGATTTTTTTTTCTCATTATGGTTAGGTATACAGACAACCACTTCAGTTGTGACTGTACAGTTTCTTATGACAAAATTGGTGCCTCTACAGTTTATAATTTCTAAGTTCTGCTTGTCTATCCCTTCTTCTTTATTTTATTTTAGTGCGCTTTATGGTCTGGAAGATGATACTACTGCATGAAGATGATATCATGTTAGAAATCAAATTGAGCAACATATTTTTTGTAGGTTGTCAGTGGGAAGAAATATTAATATCAAGATAAGTATATTAATAGTTGTAAGTGCTAGTCACTGTATTCTGATTAATTGTGAAGGTAGACTTTCCTAAAGAGTAACTTGATGCTTTTTATGGATAATAACATCCGTTGAGTAAACATATTACAAAAAGAAGTATGAACGTTCTGTTGATTCTTATGTACATTATGTTAATCATAACCGTGACTTATCCCTCCCTTTATGTGCAATTGGTTCAGTAATGTCATAATAACTTATTTGCAGAGAAGGATGGAAAGGTCAAGTGCAGGTGTGTTCACTTTGAATTTGAAACTATATCCTGGTCGATATGAGGTGATTTATCATTTTTACTCATTTAATTTATGGCAGTTATCAATACATTGACTAGCTTGAGTGTTCTTTTATTTTTGTTTACTGTTTTTTATTGAGTTGTTTTGTGCTGTACAGATTAAGTTTGTGGTGGATGGTGTTTGGAGAGTCGATCCACAACGTCCAATTGTTTACAATAACAGTGTTGAAAACAATCTGCTCATCATTTGTTGATTCATTCGCCCCACTAATAACCCCAATTCATGTATTTTTATTTTTCATTTGATCAAAGAAGAGGATTTCCACTACTGCAGTGCCTTTATTCTTCTCTCTCTCTCTCTCTCTGCATTTCTTTTGGCTTTTCTGGTTCAGAACTTTGAGATGGGAAAGGTCTCTCAAGAAAGGTGAGGACCTCAAACTCTCCCTTAACTCATCCCAAGCCTGGGTAGAAGAGGTGGATTGTATTAGGTAGACAGACAATGTAAAATTTTACCAAAATTTTTTATGAATCCTGAATAAATTTTACCGAAATTTTTTATGAATCCTAAATCTGTGATGATGATGACCGTTGAGATGGGAAGCATTTGTAGCTCATAGAAATATATCATGTATACATACATCAACGCTTTTGTCACAGGAACAGTATCTGATATTGTATTTTGAGATGAATAAGAAATTTTGATGGGAGCTAAGCTGAATCGTGGAATTATTTCATGGCTCGTAGAGTGGGGGAGTTTTAAACCACTTGCCCTCCACATAGTCCCAGTTTTAATTATAAAGTTACATGTCTAAGCATGGTTACCAAAATGTAATCTGAACTTATACCCATAAAGAAACCAAGCAGGCGCATCGTATTTGAACATGGTTATTTTGTTTAAAAAGTATTTGAACATTGTTTACTGAGAAATAAATGCAACTCAACTAAATGAAATGGAAAAGAATGAATTAAAAAGGAAGGTAAAATGCCATTATACCTCATAAATTTAAGCGGGTTATAAAAAATTTCTCATTTCACTAATTTGAAAAATATTTAAAATTCCAGATAAATTTGTCATTAATTGTGGCTACTGAGGCATCTCACCAATTAAACAGATAACCGCTCAAACGAGTTCAATTTCTTGTGTGAATATTTTGAAAAACTCAATCCCTGCCATAACTGAGGCACCTCGCCAAAATAAACAGATAACCACTCAAATGAGTTCTTCAAATTTTTGTGGGAAGATACTAGAAAACCGCAAACTATTCCAGAGCCAGGTTCTCACTAAGTCGTGCAAAAGTCCTTGCCAATTAAAAGATACTGCTCACATTTTAGAGTAGGGAAAGCTTTGTATGTTCTTCTCTCCTCCCTTTTATCCAACTGTTCTTCTGTCCTCCCCTTTATCCAACTGCTTATTTTTTAACTGTCCATTTTTTAATGGAGGGTTAAGATTGCTCCAATCATAATATCACATCTTTACACTTTTATTTCTATTTTTTTTTTCTATAAACTATTTTGACACCAAAGTTTGGACAGCCACTCCTTTATTAAACTCGTACTAACGAAAAATATAAAAAAAATATTTTCAAAAAAATAAAATAACCAAAATACCATTGAAAGTTTCAAGGGGTATTTTGGTCATTAATTTTTATCGAAAAATTATTGTTAATATTTTTTATAGGTGTGCCCCAGTGAGAAGATGGCACGTACCAAATTTCATTTTCAGAAAAAATTGTATTAAAAAACTAAAACTAAAATACTTTGAGACGTCGGATTTAAGATCAAACGGTGAGTGGCTCTCTTGATAAAAAATGGACGGCTGGATGGTAAAAGGAGGATAGAACTTTTATGTTATAGGGGGAAACATAAAAAGCTTTCCCTTTAAAGTAAATAACTAAAAATGGAGATGTGCTTTTCATTTATAAAACTCGCCCACTCAACCATTTGAATGGAATGTGGTGAGTTTTCCATTCTCAAAAAGAGTTTTTATTCACTGTTTTCATTTTTAGAATGATGCTGAATTACTTTTTCCAAAGGTAAAGGAACCGCACTAATCATTTTATGTGGCTAATGTGTAACAACTTCAGCCCTAAGGTTTTGATTAGACTTCGAGGTTGCCCACTCAAAGAACAAGAAAAATGATTTGGGAAAGCCATCTTGAAAAATATAAGGAAAAAATTTACCAGCATAAATGAGAAGAACCATCATATTTGGGTGGCCAAAAGATCACTGATTCTCTTTTCACTCTTATGCCACTAAAGATGGTAGTGACTGCAAGAAAAGCAACAAATGTTTGAAACTCAAAACCAGGAATGTTGCTGGTCCTCGGTTTTCATTGGTCTTTGTTTCTTGAGAAGCTACGAGAAAAAAGTGCATCTGAAAGGAAAAACACAATATTTTAAAGAATTTGAAGAAACAGAAAATAAAAATTCAGATCGTTGGGGAGGATCACTTGATCTATTAAAAATTTTATGATTCAGATAAAGTAGTCAATGAGTCAAATTTATTATCAGGATTCAGCAGCCTCGAATTTGCACAGTACAATATTGATAACATTGCAAATCATACAAATTCTCTTTTCTTGATGAGTATGAATGATACAATCCATGCTCTTCTAAGTTCCAACGTCCTGAGTGCGTACTGAGTATGATCACATACACAGCATACCCCAGAGAATATCATCACTCCTTTCATAATTAAAGGAACACTAAATTAGCTAGGTAATGACAAATCCGATGTATTTGCATTTAGTGCTGTATTTGACACAAATGTAAACCCACTCCCACAATACACTTCAACCTTTCTGCACCTAAGTTGTCCTCTGTCTAGGTGTACCACTTGCGGAATTGTCTGATCACAAGTATTTCCAAGGCCAAGCTGCCCATGTTCTCCCCAACCCCAAGTCATGACCACCCCACTCTCTGCAAATGCAAACAATGGATGGATAAAAGTAAAAACCATTGTGATACTTTGGATCCAAAAGTAAAATCAGAGATTTGTGGTGCTTTTACTTGCCTGACACTATGGCTGAGTGCTCAGACCCAGTGGCCACTTGAACCACGTTTATCCCTTCAAGGGCAGCTACTCTCTGCATAGAAGGTACAGTGTTGGCTTCTGCAGAGTATATCAATACATTCTATCAATCAGTTTCGGAAAGAAACACACTAGCACACATACACACACAATGAAATGGATCAAGAATAAAGTGTTGACCCGTGCCACTAAATGTAAATACACATAATGTGACAATTATTAAACTACCATTTTCAATACAATGTCGAAGGTCTAGTGTTTGATTTCCACAGGTTGCTCTCAACTTAATATCCAAAGTTGGCATTTTCTTCGGGTGAAACAAATATCACAGTTATATGTCATATACTAGGCATGAAGATTATATCCAATATTAGATCTTTAATATGGGTGCCGTTTGTATAGAGCCGAGGCTCTAATCAAAGTAAAGCTCACCTTCAAATTGTGTCAAGAAATGTGGTTTCAATACTGGAAATCTTTGTGATAGCCTTAAAATATATTTTCATCTTTAATTATAACATTTAAAGCTTCAAAAATAATATCGATCAAGCAGAACAATGAACACTTGAAAATCTTGAAATTTGACAGTCAAAAAATGCGTTACAAGATGCAGTATTTCCATAACTTGAAATCTATTTCTTTCTCATGTCCATGCAACTTCATGTCGAGATGATCAATTTGAGAAATTTTGGGCATCGAAACAACCTCTTCTAGTGAAATTGAAGTGGGCTCTAATTTGATTGTTTAGAGACTCGACTCTATATAAGCTTTTTCCCTTTAATACAATAGTATGTCATAGACCTACCAAGAGAGAAAAATAGTAATGCCGACATCCTAATGACCAAGAAAGAAAAGCGTCATACATCATGATTACATAAAATAAGAATGTACGGCAGACTGTCTTTCTTGTTCATAAAGTGCATGTGATACCTCACAACCATAATCCTCAGGCCACATGTGTAACATTAATGGAACATCACAAATAATGATTATATATGCAACAGATGATAAATTCTCTACACATAATATCCAACACTATGTAAGGTTTGGGCCATGAACGAAAGTTAATAAGGCTCACCATGCGTCTTATCACATGTAGCACAGTTCAGAGGCCTCCCCTGTTCCATTGGCGCAGATTCAGAGCCAGAAAGCTTCCCATGGTGGTTCCCACCAAGCATAAACACTTCGCCAAGATCTAACAATTTAGCACACAAATTCATAAAATTTTACAAACTAGTAAACAACATTATTGTATAAAATGACCATGAATAGGTTGTGCCCACCTGTTAGTAACAAAGCATGGTTCCAGCCTAGAGAAACCTGAGAAAATTTCAAAGATGTGGATAAAAGCTGAGGGACTTGATTATGTTTAGCTCTATTGAACCCTCTTCCCCAAGTGTATAAATGCCCATCAACTGCACTATAGGAATTAGTTGCAGGAGCCCTGGCATAATCTGGTAAAATTTTGCCATCTTATAGAGTGCAACATACAAGAAAAAATTACCGGATAGTGCGGCACTTTGATCACCATTTGCAGTCATAGTTGAAATATTCAAATCTTCAAATCCATGAATTAGTTGTGGAAGACTGAAGGATTTTGTGCTCCTTCCAACCACATTTCCTAACTGGGCGTGTTTTACTGATCCAAATCCATATAATGGGTCCATTGCCTGGCCTGTCTTTTAAATTTCAAAGGGATAAAAAAAGAAAAATATTAAACTCTATCATTGTACAATTTCAGAACCAAATTTCTGAACTGACTCCAACTCCATTAAGAGGGGTTCGAACACTACTCAAATGAGCTAAAGTCCAAACATGCCACCACCACTGCTAAATGTCGCAGTCCGATACAATTTGGTAAATATATTTTAAAAAAACACGAAGTAACTAATATATCAGCATTATCCATGTAAATTTGATGGTTAATGCCATGATTCCTCAAGCTGTCTCAAAATTGGATGGATTCCTTTAGTTATCAGGATTGGATAGGTCAAAGACTATCTAACTTGGACATGTGTGCCCATGGATATTGGCATGTATTGAGTATTGACACTCAAGGACATGAAATGCTTGTCCGATACTTATAGAAAGTTTTATTATTATTATTATTATTTACCTTTTCTTACTTGGAATATCAATACAATATTTTTAGTTGCATCACTAATAAAGTACTTAAAGTGGCTCAAATCCCCCCCCCCCTCCCTCCTCCTCCTCCTCCTCCTCCTCCTCCTCCTTCCTTTCTCAATGTTGTAATGTGTTGTGCCTAAAAGGCCAAGTTTTACGGTTGGAAATTTTGACATCCATGTTGGATGCTAACACTCATTCCTGTGATGACTTAAAAGCTAGAGAATTTACAAAGTGCCAATTAAAATCATCATCATCATCTTCAAAGCTTTTGACCAACTAATTGGTGTCCCCCATTCTGCTCTATTAAGGGCCACACCCAAAGTGCCAATTAAAATGAGAACCATAAAATACGACCCTTTAACCAAACTTGAAGCATCATGAATTCATAAAGCCTTTTCAATTTTCCGTTTGCCTTGTAAATTATCAACAAAAAGGATATCTTAATATCTTTAGTCAAATCATACCTTTCAATAGAACCAGTGAATGGCGCATCCCACATGAGATTTTCAGAACATGCCTGGAGCCAAAAAACTTAACCTCAACGGGGAAGCACTGCGAGTTATAATCACCATGCCCAAGCTGGCCAAATGATCCATCTCCACATGTGAAGAGCAATCCAGTATCTGTAAGAACAGAACACATAAAGATGGCTATTACTCCCATTTCTTCTAATGAACATATTAACTCCATGCTCTTACAACATCTAAGATATTGATCCATAAATTCTAAATATCCAGGCTTAAGTAATCTATAATGATTCCCTATCTTTTGGTGTTTTGACTTTGGAATACCTCACGAAAGCCCCCAACAGTGTGGAACCTAGAGTCAAATGCTATGGAAATGTAATAATTGGGGAATCCCAGAAAGAAGGGAAAAAGGGGATGGTAATCTCATTACAGGAAAACTGAAATTTTACTCTAGATTGTACAATTTATCACAACATTTTTGGATCTTCATTCTTTTCAAAAAAATTATTTCATGTCATGACCCCTTATTCTTGCCTGCCGATGATGATTTTAGACTGATAAGACATATTACAAAAATTTTACGAACTTTGCTTTTTCCTGGTAACATATTCTTGAATTTAATGCAAGTAACTATTTCGCATATTTTGTACGGTCAATATTACATCTAATTACAAAATTTCCCTGAGTTAAAACTTGGACTAATAAGTTGATAGCAAACTAGAGACTAGTGTGTCAGAATTTTTAATCAATAATAATTAGATGCAGTGGTAGTCTTGTCTGCAATTATGTTTTAAATATGCTATCTAATCATTTGCACACTGAAAACATAGCGACAATCATGATGTTCTATTCCTCTAATTATTTGATATTTGCATTGTTTGGCCCCAAGTCACTTGTATATAAACCGAAGAGATTCATTAGATGACCGTAGATGATAATTTTCTATCAAGATATGGCTGTGGTAACACAGAACACAGAATATGACAAAGCTACCATATGGAACCAGAATGTGAAGAGATAATAAGCTTAAGTATAGCAGCCAATACAGATAAAGTGACAAGAAGGACCCTGAGAGATGGCTCTTTTTCTTTATTGATTTGTAGTATTCAGAAAGATGTTGGTCATGAACACATATACAAAATACAAGAAATCACCAAGAGAGGTCAGCAATGTTATGTAACAAAAATTAAAAGAAAGGAACTGAAGTTTAAACAGTACATTGGGCTTAAAAGGTTCGTTGAACACCCAAAAGAAAAACAAAGAACATAAAGCGGACAGGAAATACCTGAAACAAATCCAGAGTGATTCCAACCAGCAGCAGCATTACATATAACAAAATTTTCTAAAAATTTTACATGCTTCGGGTGTGCACTATTCTCCCAGTTCCCATGACCAAGCTGACCAGATTTTCCTCGACCCCATGTCATTACCTTGCCATCTCCTAAAATAACAGAGCATGAAAAGACATAACTAACCAATTCATCCCAAAAAAAAAAAAACTACTAATATAAAATGATACAGAAGTGAATAAAATCAAATATGTGTAAGATGCATTTTTGACATTCTAATATGGAACCACATACATAACAGAAGATGATTAAGCATGTGTATAATCAAAACAGAATCCCAGCAAAACTATACAATGTATCATTTTAAAAAAAAAAAAGAAGAAGAAAAAGAAAAGATTGTATCTTCTACAAATCATTTGAGACTGGTAGATAATCAATTTTAGATTTTACTTATATATTCAATGGAGAACTTATACATTCAAGAGAACTTAAGTGTCAATCCAATAGGTGATAAGATGAGAGAAAGTAGACTTAAGTGGGCTGGCCTTGTGTAACACAGACAATACAGCAAGAGGTGCGAGTTGGATAAGACTCAAAATGGGCAAGGGGAGGCCCAAAAGGATATTGCTAGAAGTACTAAGAAAAAATATGGTGACTTTAGCCTCACTGAAGATTTGATAGCAGAAAAGAAGACTAGGCAGACCAAGATTCATAATAGCCAGACCCAAATAGTTGGGAAAACCCTACCATGAGGATGATTCAATGGAGAACTTAGCATCAAAGTGGGTACATAATATGGGCATCAGTATGTTGGGTTAATATGGGGAATCTCAATATAACACGAAAACACTAGGAAATTATTTAAACTAGAACATCCATATTCCATACTACAACTACGGTAATTAACATCCATATTCCATACCACAGCTAAGGTAATTTTATGTAAACACCGTACAAGCATTTTTCCAGAAGGTCATTCTTGCCAACCAGGCTTCACTCTTCTTGGTTGTGCGATACCAGAACAACGTCAACTAATTTGTTCATGATGCTATAATAGCAAAAAAGTATCTTCTCACAGTTAACATTCAGAAAAAAAAAAAATTATGTTCTCACAATTACATACATGTACTTCAGCAAATACGAAACCATATTACAGGAAAGTAGCACAGAGTAATAGGATTTTGCTAGGGCTGCCTCCATTATTAAGTTGATCAAGAAGAACGGGACCAAAATGGACTTCCCTTTTCCATAAGAGTGGTATTATGAGATAGAGAGGGCAAGAGAGAGAGAGAAAGCAGAGAAAATGGTGGGTTGAAGGAGATGAGAGATAGTTACTTGTAAGGGCTATGGCATGGGCGCCACCACAGGCTATGTGAGAGATTGGGAGAGAAAAATAGTGAGAAACGTTTGAAGGGAAGAGTTCATCCTGGAGGTTTCCAGTGGCCAGCTGACCCTCTGTACCAGCACCCCAGCTCCACACTTGCCTTCCTTCCTCCTCCTCCTCTTCCATGGCTATAAAACAATATTAAAGCACTGGAGAAAAGCCAACTTCCCAGTCTTTTGATAAGAACCCAGGCCTGGTTTTACCAAAACACTGACGTTTCCTTGGCAATTAACAAACACTCTCTCTCTTTCTCCTGGCAATTAACCAATATCCTCTATCTCTCTCCGATCTCTCCCTCTCTCAGGAGCAATGAACCACTCCCCTCTCTCTCCATATCTCTCTCGTCGGAACCAAACACAAAACCGGACTCGGACCTTCCGAATCAACGAGTCCCGGAACGCTTAAGTGCGAATAAAAATACTTAGGAAAATTTACAGAAGAAACGAACTAGTTTTAAAAGGATTGTTACATTTTAATGTACTTCGATGAAATTTTTTAAAGTGTTACGCTAGGTGCTTCTAGAGCATTTTATTATTGAGAAAGTATAAAATGGGGCCATTTAGCTGTGGCAAGGTGGTCACAATTCCTTATAACTATTTGATTTGAAATTTGATAGTTTGGATGTGTCGCTAACTTCAAAAAAAATTTCTTTTGAAGTTTGAGCTTGGTCAATAGAACAATTGTAGCCACCCAATGTCACATCCAATGATCAAGATTAATGTGATAAAAAATTTGGACACTTACATATCTTTATTTAATACCTGGAGTATTTTTTGTCATTGAGAGGGGTATGACAATATCTGCATGGGTTGTGACAGTAATGTGAGCACCCTAATATAATTTTTTTTAAAAAAATGTATTATGGGTAAGAATGATTGGGACCTCTATAATATATCAGCATTCATCATTTCAGCCTTTTCCCAATTACTTGAAATCGGCTTGTGACCTCTACATACAAAAGATAAATAATTGCTTTATAGACAATCCTTAATAAAAAGGAGAATTATTTGGTGCGTCCAAGCCCGCACTTGATACTATGCAGGCTTGGAGATCTATTCCATCCATCAAAGAAAGTGTAGATGCTCACCATAAACAATAGTCTTTCAAAGAAAAAGAAACCCAACGGTTCATATCTAAAAAACATCATTTCTAATTTTTAAAATTTATTTATTTATACATATTAATAATTTACATTTTAAAAGTATATATTTCCTAAAAAATAGAATTAAATATTATTTTAAAAACAAAGTATTAAGGGGTCCACATTTCTACATGTGAGTCCTTGGACTCATAAAAACATGTCCTAATAAAAAATGACCAAAATGCACATGTAACATAAATGGGTATTTCAGTTATTTCTCATTTATCTAAAGAACAATTGTTTCATGTGCCCATACCACAATTGTACAATATGCGGTCTAGAGGTATAAAACATCCATCTTAAAGATGGATGCAAATAAGTGGTCCATCTAAAAACAATTGTAACTAATATTCTAAATGTTTTTGGTATAATTATTATTTTTAATTTTCAAAAGTTATTTATTTTTATTTTTCATGATTTTTATATTAAAAATTAAGAGTAGTGATCTTATAGGACCCTCCCATACCTATGTGTGTAGGACTCCAAATGATTACTATTAAAATTAGCACGGATCTCCAAAAAAGTTATTACATAGGTATAAGAGTTGGCTTTTCTATAGATCCACATCAAATTTAATAGTAATCTATTGAAATCTTGCACACATGGATGGAAGAGAGTCATATATTATCTATAAATTAAAATCAAATTATATTTAAAATATATATTTATTGCCAAGCCGAAATTTATACACGTGGGGGCTTGACCGCATGCTAACCCGAACTTATCTAAAATAAGTTTTCCTTATTTCGATTAGGTGTCCCCTAGTGAAAAGGGATGAAGGGATGCGCCCTAGTTTGTTGGTGTGGAAATCTTTGGATGTCGCTTAGGCGAGAGAGCCCTCCAATTGGAGCCGTTCGCTGGACGATCGTATGCCAGGGGGAGCCCTCTCTTTCTCTTTCTCTCTCTCATTTCTTTTCTCGCACTCTCTCTCCGCTTAGCTACTCTATCAAGCGCGTGGGTTGTATCCAATGAGATCATTTATTTTTTATAAAAGGGGCTCCCAATTACCCATCCCATACGGACGCCTCTATAGGTGTAGAGGTACGGCCCTTCAAATTTTATCATAATATGTAATTTTAATGTAAAATATTTTCAAAATCTATTTTTATATCTAATTATAAAATTTTAAATTTCAAAAATAGTTAAAATCAAGTAGATCTATAAGCATATGGAAATCTTGAAAATAGATTGTATAGATAATATATTGTAAAATATACGATTTTTACGATTTAAAATCTTTTTATTTTTCATAATCATACAATCTTGATGTCGAGATGATCCATCAAAGGGTTAGCATCCTTATATAAACTTTTTCCTTACTTACAACCATCTGATGTGAATTTTGATAGATTGGATATGTTACGGAGTTCAAAAAAAATTAGTTTGAAATTACATTTGTCAAAAACAAAAAAAATTATTTTGAAGTTTAAGCTTAATAAATGCAACCTCCCAATAACACATCCAATAGTGATTGAATGTGAATACCTTGTACCAAAAGTCAGGTCTCATTCTATATTTTTTAGATAAAAAAGTACTTTTAAAATAAGAGTGTGGTTTCTATATGCAACCTTAAACAATCCAATAGAAGCACCTTCAAATTTTATCATAACATGTAATTTTGATGTAAAACATTCTTATAATTATCTGAAAATCTATTTTTATATCAAATTATAAAATTTTAAACTCGAAAAGTAATTAAAATCAAGTAGAACTATAATCATATGAAAATCTTGAAAATAGGCGGTCTATATAATATGTTGCAGGATACTCTATTTTTGGGACTCAAAATTTTTTTTTTTTCATAATCATATATCTCAATGTCGAGGTGAGATGATCAATTAGAAGAGTTTTCAACATTAAAGTAACTTTTTTCGATGGATTGAAGTGCATCCGTGGTTATGCATTTTTAAGGTTGCTACCTTATATAAACTTTTCCCTTAAAACAATGTCCTAAGAACACGATGAAAATGAAATGTTAATACCGATTAACTTGTAGCATTGGAATACAAGGGAAAAAAGGCAGGACAATGTGACGTCCTAGGAAGAAGTGGGCAAAGGGGATCCATTAATGAAGGATCTAAACATGGTAAGGGCTTGAGATGGTGACGTGAATGGCACCTCGTGTGCTCCACCCTTCACAGTTGCATATGTCAAGTAAGTCTGGTTCTTTCCCCCTACACTCTTCCCAAATGCCTGTGCCCATCCTCCTACCTGCACACCAACCTTATACCCTTGAGAGACAGAGATGGGGGGGGAGGAGAGAGAGAGAGAGAGTATTACCTGTTTCTTATCTATACCAAGGAGCATACGTTGGTTATGGAAGAAAGTCTTACAATGTGTGGCCAGTTGATTGGCAATGATCTTGTTGGGTCAAGGGTATCTTGCATCT